GACGACCATCACAAACAGAATTATATAAGCGAAAAGCATATATCAATGGACAGTTATAATGATGAAAAGTATTGGGTATAGCAAAATAAAATAACTTTGGACATCGGCTAATTTGTCTTTGGATGTTGAATTTGATTTCATGGAGAAGCTCCTGACAACATATCTGACCTAAAGTGAGTTTTTGTAGAAAAATTAAACTAGCTGCATTTCTTCTTCTTATTAAAGATTGTTCATTGATAATAGACAATAAGCTAGATTGATCACAATGTCTGCTTGGATACCTATTATACATTTTTAAAAATAAATACTTTGCAAATTTGCGCAAGACATTCTCTAACAAGTCAATATATTTTTGGTAATACGGCTTCCATACAATGCAACAATATTCCATTCTTGACCTTACTAAAGCATAAAAAAGTATTTTGATACATTGTATGTTAACAAAATCCATGGTGTTACGACGAATAAATCCTAGCTGTTGCATAGCAGTCTTGGTGACATGCAGGATGTGTGGGGCAAATGACAAACTACAGTCCATAACAACACCTAAATCAGATATCTGTTGACAATTCTCAAGTACATAACCATCTAAATTGTAATAATAGGAAATAGGTTCACGTGTACGAAAGAAGGTAATCTTTTTACATTTACTTTTGTTAATTTCAAACTTATTACTATTACACCAATGCAGTAACTTTTCTAAACTGGTTTGTAGCTCATAACAGTCCTCAGCCCTATTGACAACTTTTGCCAGTTTTAAGTCATCGGCGTATACAAATGCCCTACATCCCAAGTCTTTTACGACGTCGTTGTAAAATATAATAAAAAGAAGAGGACCTAAATTTGATCCTTGACCAACTCCACTGTTAACTTTATATATCGACGATCGAAATCCTTTACACAAAACTCGTTGTTGCCTATCAGTTAACCAAGATTTAAGAACAGATATTAAATTATCGCATAAACCAAAACTTTCCAACTTTTTTAATAAAATACAGTGATTAACTTTGTCAAATGCTTTAGAGAAGTCGGTATATATAGCATCAACTTGTGATCTTTTATCTAAAGCATTTGAGACAAACTGCGTGAATTCGCATAAGTTAGTTGTAGTGGAGCGGCCCTTGACAAAACCATGTTGTTCAGTTATAATATCAGATTTCACATGGGCATAGATAGCATCTGTTAATATGCACTCAAACAATTTAGCAAAATTTGGGATGAGAGATATGGGCCTATAGTTCTTAATGTTCGACTTGTCACCCGACTTAAAAATTGGCACAACATTTGACGTTTTCCATACTGTTGGATACTGTGAAGATATTAATATCCGATTAAATATATGACAAAGTGGAGATAGAAAACAAATCCACAATCAAAAATGCCGGTATGTTATCAGCACCACAGACATTATTCGCTTTTATACCCTTTACAGCCTTAAGAATGTCGTTGTCACTTATAGAGAACCTATTTAAAATAACATTTTTTACACAGTCTACTCTAACATCAAAAGATGGACAACAATATTTAAAACAGTTATCACAGATATTTTCACAATTATCACGGCATATTACATCGCAGACATGGTTCTCGTTATCGCAGTTGTACATACTTTTAAAGTGACTAGCAAATGTGTTGACTATATCTTGTTGAGATGTCAAGGTATGATTGTCAAAGGTCATGAGACCAGGAACATTCGTGGCTTTCTTTTTTTCATTAACAAACGACCAAAATTTTTTCGGATGGCTTTGTAGAGAAGTTTCAGATTTTCTTATAAACTCATAATATGTGTACCTAATGTCTTTTCTGATTTCACAGCGTAACTTCTTCACTTTATCAAGATGATATACTGACTTGGTTTTTCTATAAATATCCCAATGTCTATTCTTTGTTTTGATTTTGTTGATAACAGATCTAGTATACCAAACAGGGTAATTTTCCCGCTGACCAAAGGACTTTGAAATTGGTACATATTGGGAGATGTTGGTAAAAATGATTTCATTAAATTTCTCACAGGCCAGAGTAGGATCAGCAGCATCTAAAACTGGAAACCAGTCAGTCCCAGCAAGTGATAGGTAGAGCCCTTCCAGATTACCTCTGTGAAAGTTAAATCTCAAGTCATCAGTCCCATGTACAAATGGTACACTATCCAGGTTCACTAATTCCAGTTGTATATTTAGAGCAGGATGATGATTATCCTCTGTAACTAATGTCAACTCCTGTTTGTCTACAGTTACTGTTAAACTTTCTGTCGTCAGAACTAAATCTAATATTCTGTTGTTGCAATTGAGAATGCTGTTGTGTTGAACCAAGTTATTTAACGCCAGAAACTGTGTGTAGATGTTAAATAATTGGGTTGTCCTTGTACCTGTCACACATTCAGAAATTTCCGGGATATTAAAGTCACCACATAACATGACGGGAACTGAGAAGTCTATGGCACTTTCCAAGTAGTCAAAGATAGAAGTGTAAACATCAAGACTGAGTGAAGGAGGAATGTACATGGCAAGAATAATAATATGTCTACTGCTTATAGAAATTCTTATGCCTAAAAGTTGAACAGATGGTACCGGTGAGCTAACATCAAGCTTGTTTACAACATACTGGTTCCTCACTGCCACCAAAACTCCTCCACCACGACCAGTAATTCTATCGGATCGATATACATTAAAAAAGCAAGGAAATAACTCACTTGAACTAACATTGCTGGTAAGCCATGTTTCGCTTAGAATAACAACGTCAGCATCCAATGAAGAGCAATTCACATAAAAGTCCGTAATTTTAGTATTTAGACCTCGCACATTTTGATAAACAATGTTTCCACTTAAAGATGTACGTGAACGAGGAAATCTTGCCTGCTGGAAATCTACACATTTTTTGTACTGACGATTTTTGGCACACCATTTGTGTATTTTAGTCTTATGTCTTCCTCACCATTGTTGCGCCGACTTCTAAATTCTTTTCTAATAGCATAAGCCTTAGTCTGTTGACGAGGTGTAAGATCAACATTGCAGAAAATATTGTTGCTGAATCGATGGCGTACCAATTTTTTAACCACAGCTGAACTATTGAGGACAACCTTAACCATACGAGAACGTTCTTGATTTGGTTTTCCTAAGCGAATTACAGACAAAATCTGATATTCCTGATTACCTTCAATAACTGGGCCTATAAGATTCTTAACTGCATCTTCATCAGCTCGTTTCCGTTGTACATCATCACCATGAGGTTCCTGAAGACCCTGGACAATAACATTGTTAGAGCGATAGATTCTCTCCATGGCTTCTTCTACAACAGCATCATCATCAACACGACTCATTTCAATATTACTTTCCCTCTTTTTCCCCCTCATGTCCTCTATCTCCACACGTAGTTTTTTGTTTTCAGTAATTATTGTCAACCACGTCCGTTTTGACAGTAGGAAGTAAGGCAAAGTCCCGAAAGTTATTTACTAATATAGGGACATTGGAACTAATAAATTCTAAAATTTCACAAATGCGCGTGAATCTTAAAAAAAGGCATAGTGCGACCTCGGCCAAATAGATTGAAAAAATGAAAGTAGTTATAAGTTAGTGAGGAATATTGACATCTAAGCGTGTACATATACGTTAATATCTTTTGGTATACGATTCGGACAATACATCTCATTTCAAATGAGGGTTTTGCTAATGTACATAGACATGCATTATTATTACTGTAGAAGTTGTGGTGGATGTATTTCTCATAGGAGCGAATAACAAAGAAGAACCTAACTTGTGTATTAGACAAAGTAAGAACCATAAAAATAGAAGAGATATATTTCATTTGCCAAATCCTCTTTATTGTTGTTATTAGTGCTACTTATGTGAGCATTAATTAACGACTTTCTTTTTCGCTTCTTATCAAGTCTATATTTTGCTATTCATACGAAAATTTGACAATTTAAGACAAGTGGTAAATTTTGGAGCTCTAGGGACACACGTAAAAGGTGAACGTAGTTTGTGAGGAATAGAAATTTAGTGAAAAAATATATAAGGACCACATATTTTGTAGATTTGAAAGAAGCAGAACAGGAAAAATATTCGTTCACCTGATGCAGTTCTATTATTTGTAACTCATCATGTGTAAGTACATACAAATCTATTATGGGTTTTTATCAGCAATACTTTTAGGATTTTCAATTTTATAAAATGAACGTTTTTTATATGTCCCCAACAATACCTAATCGCTTCACATAACAGGTCCTGTTTTTTTTCCTTCTACGAGAATTAGAGTCTACATTTTTTTGTTAATTTCCGTTCGTCACAAATTACGTTCGCCTTTTACACATAGGGGTCCGGTGCTCCTATAAAAAGTTGGTTCTCCTTGCTAAAGAGGTGTTGCACCTTCGGATCTTATGGAGTTTCCAATAGATTTTTAGAATGTACTTGTCCACAACTTTCTTTTTATAACAAAAGGGAAGTTTTTTTTTTTCAAAAAATAGTTTATCTTTTTAAAATTTTGGTGAAGCATCATGTTATCTTTAAAAACCAATACATACCTCAATTATTTATGAAAGTTTCGGAATGCATGGGAAAGGTTGTCACTTTTTGTCAGAAGTGAGATACAGTAAAACCAGCTTGTTCTGAAAGCTGAAAGTACCTACTTATACTTACACTTCTTACATGGGTTCACCATTTTGTTGACGATCACAACGTCAACTTCATGGTTTACATTATTCCTTTTAACAGATCAGAACGGTCGAGCAGGACAGGTTCTATTTTTCCGTTACCGAGGTTGGAACCAAAGCCGCCTGTGGCTGACGGGTCAACCGCCCCTATTATTGTTTGTATCTCCTATAATTTAGTGCTGTTGTCTTAAGTTAGAACGATTTTTTTTAATAACTGTTAAACTATAATATAAGGAATATTGTATGGAATTTTTTTAAAATTACAACTGAATATTTGGTGACGTCACCATATTTTATTTTAAAACGAAACACTAAAAACTAAATTAAATGGATTTATACAAAAAGTGTATGAAACAGGAGTAAATAATATAGACGTTTATTTCCTAACTTAACTACATTCTTCTGTTCCAAAAAAAAAAAAAAAATCGATGCCTAAAGCTGCGGGTTTATGATTTTTCCAGTAAACAAAATATTGGGTCTTCCAGAAGATCTTTCCAACAACATTAAAATGAACGGATGGTCAGCAGTGAAGAAAATATCTGGGCCCACCACACAACTATAAGTCTCAAACATCATTGCTGCAATTAGAAAAATGTATCAGCTTTCAACGCCTCAACTAATAAATGTATAGATAAACTTTCAAAGGCGTCATCCCAAAACTTAAAAGAAAATAATTTAATTTTCAGGAAAAAACATTTGCAACTTAATTCACGGGCGAGCATAATTTATACATATTATATTACATACCTACTTATTAGTGACTGATCTTTTAAAATATTTATTCAGAGCCAAAAAAAAAAAAATAGCCAGGCAACCGAAGCTTCAAGTTCAATTAAAGGCCATTACTGTCAAAAAGTAGCTTTAATAAGATTTTATGTTTAAAACTCCTTCTGTACCATTGAAAATATCCTGGAGTGATTTAAGCGTAGAACAGGACACAGATGGGTCCACAGTAACATTCGTTGTAGAAACACTTTCTTCAAATAGAAAAATGTTTGAGTATTACAATATATTAAATATGCTGAAAAGGTTAATAAACAAAAAAATTGGAAGAAAATTTACAATGAGAAAAAAACAAACAATACATTCACAATCAAAACAATTGATTTTGACGTTGAAGAAGGAATATAATATAACAAGCTTCTGTCGATTCAGCCCCTTCTTTATTTACTTCAATTAAAAGTTTCTGTATAACTTTGCTTACATACGAGTACAAATATTTTTTTGAAGTAGTCATGCCACCGAAATTAGCTGCTGGGCTAAATATTTCTTCTATTCCAAGCTTATCAAGCTTATCTACCCAAAACTCAAAGATAGTGACAATTCATGAAAACTACGAGTTTTTTTTTTAAATCAATGATTTGTTCAATTTTGAATTTTAGCAAGGCCATGGTAACTTCAATGTTCCACGGTAGCCAGTTTTTTTCTAATTGGACAATTCCATTTCTTTCGAAGGGCAAAATAATAATTGTGCTAAGGAAGTTGTCATTGGTGTAAGGTAATTCTAAATAAATTGTAGCTTCCGACTCTCTGACATCTTTGTAAGGGAATTTCCTCCTCATATGCATCATTTCCACATGCACTCAGTCTACGTTGTTAGTCTCGTTTTGGTGTTTTGCTTGTCAAATTTGTGTATCCAACTGCCTTTGAAATAGATAGCGTCTTCAAGCACTAATCGTGTGAATTCATCTAAATCCTCTTTTTGTTGACTAAATTCTTGATTTTTTGTTTTGTTTTCTCGCTGACCCAATTATTAATAGCTGTAGCAGCTGCCTCACTTGCACTAAAATTAAGTAACTGTACTTAAGATAGGAAATTTTTAGTGACAGCATCGCTGAACTAAAAAATTTACGCTGAAGGTAAATTTTATTAGCCATCAAAAGTCTAATGTTGGCAAGAGAGTTGAAGTGGTTTGTTACAACATTGTAACATCCTCCAACAATTTCATCTTCAGGTATTTTCAATGTGGACGCAAACTTTTTAGCAGTTGTACCACAGTACAGATATAGAACTAACGTGTACAGTAATGACATGAGGTTCAAAATCCTTTGTTCTTGGTGTAGATATATAACGTTAGTTATATATCTATACTGTGGTTGTACACCGGGCACGATGATAACTTGATAAGGTATGGGCCGAACAACTCATTGGAGAGAATTTTATATTTCCTGGCGATGTACCGGCCAAAACATTTGTGAATGTGAATTGACCATTAAATGCACAAGAAAACTGTTCCAAAAATAAATGTGATTAAGGAGGGAATCAGTGTCACAGCAATAAAACAAATATATGAAGAGTTTAAGGTAGAACACATTGGGCGGCCTTTTACTAACGTGAAACATAACACCCTCCAGTTTTATTAAGCGAACTATTTTTACTTTCTAAATATTATATTGGCACAGTAAGTACTCGACTGATGTTTGGTAAAAATTAAAAATGTGTAGTGAGTAATGTTGTTTTGATTAATACTATGCGCATGACGTGTTTTGTTTTGGTGTGACCCACACAACGAAGTTAATAATGTGACCTTAATAGAGGTCTGTGGAGCAAGAGCAAGTATCTAAATTTTGCGAGACCTCGCCAAGGTTACCAGTTAGGAAGGAAACGATTTCTGCGCTTTCTTGTATACAGTGAATGTAACGTATTATCGATTAACTTGGTTCACTAGAACTCAATACGTATCTTGGAAAATGATGCAGTCGTCATGAACGAGTGGAAAGTTATATTCATAACACGTTTTAGCAAAAATACAACAAAATATAAAACTGCGAGAATTATATCTCATTTATTTCAATGAACTGACGTTTGTATTTAACTTTAGACAAAAGAATAATTGTCTACAAAATGTAGTGTAGCATTGTTAAATATATTTAGTTGTACGAAATAAGACGCGTTGGAAATTAAATTAAATTTAATTATTACTTCACATCAAACTTAACATTTGATTTTCAGTATACTCGTATGTCACTTCGACATAGTATTTAATAATCATTTTATTTGGAGATTAAAATAAAAATTTACATTTAAAACAGAAATATTTATTGGGGTATACGACTACAACCACTCTTCCTTATTTCTTACAACGGGTGTTCAGTTGAAAAAGTCATCAAGATGGCGTTGCTTTTTTGATAGAAGAAAACGTAGCGAAGAGCGAAGAATAGAAAATTAAAAGAATTGTTAAAACAGATGTCCTATTTTTGATAACAAAATATAAAAATTAAACGTTGATTTTCTATTTATAGATGGATTATTTTTTGGATGGGAGAAGCGTAAGCACTTGCGGTTTGCTGGTTGACGTTTGACATCTTATATTTATGTCACAAGCGAAATCAAACAAAAGGAAACGATATAAACATTTTATTCTCGATTTTGATCAATTCTTCTGTTTCATAGAAAAAATAACTCAGTTCTTAAGGTTGCGGGTTTGTTATTTTTCCAGTAAATAAAATATTTGGTTTTGCAGTGGATTTTTCCAGCAACATGAAAACAAACGGATGATCAGCAGTGAAGGAGATGTCTGGGCCTCTCACAAGACTCTCAGTCATTATCATCATTACTGTAATAAAAAAATATCTCAAATCTCAAGAAATAAATGTATACGGGTAATTTCAAAGGGGTTATCGCAAAAGAAAACAATTAATTTTCAGGAAAAAACTTTTGAAACTTGATTTATCAGTCACTAATTTATTTAAATATACTTTGGATAAAATATATGAAGTAGGATTCGAGAACTTCTGCAAGTTGTTTTCTCACGCTGTTTACGATACTTCAAATAATCGGGTACTTTATTACTATGCTCCAAATTGACTCACTGAATATACCTTGCATAACTGATGTGCTAAAATCTGCTCTAATATGTAAAGTAAGTATCACCTCGTAAATGAGTCCATGACTACTTTAGCTTTGGAAAGACTTTCTTTAAAGGTATCGCTTTTGAAACATGTACACTAAATATATTTTTAATAAAAAACAACAAAAATAGCATAAAATCAACTTGATGAAAGAACTTACCAGTAGCTGCTGCTGCCTCAGCCCCTTCTTCATTTACTTCAATAAAAGCTTTCTGTATAACTTTGCTCACATATAGTGGCTCTTTTGACGTAATCATGCCACTGAAATTAGCTGCAGGAGTAAATATTTCACCCAGTCCAACCTAAATAATGGAAAAAATCACAAGTATTTATTTTATATATGAAAATTACTGACATTTCGTGAAAACTGTATTACCTTAGTTAAAGAATCTTGTAAATCAATTGTTTGTTCAATTTTGAATCTTGGCAAGGCAACAGTAACTTCAATGTTCCACAGCTTGTTTATGATTTCAGTAAAGTTTACCGTAGCCAGCTTCTTTTCCAATTCCAGAATTTGATCTCTTTTGAAGGGCAAAATAATGACCATGCTGAGGTTGTCATTAGTGTAAGGTATCTCTAGAATTTCAGCTTCCAATTCTTTAACAGCTTTATAGTGGAACTTCCTCTTCATATGCATCATTTGCACATCTACTGAATCTTTATCATTGAGATAGAATGGTTCCATTGTGGTGGCTTCCTTGTTAAATTTATGCATCCAGTTGCCTTTGAAATGGATAGCGTTTACAAGTACTAAACGTGTGGATTCACTTAAATCCTGTTTCTTTACTAAATCTTTGATTTTTTCGTTTGTTTTCTCTTCAACCCAAGAGTTGATAGTTACAGCGGCTGCTTCATTCGCACCAAAATTAAGTAACTGCACTTCAGATAGAAAGCTTTTAGTGACAGCGTCGCTGAAGTCTGGTAAAAGCGTATGACCCTCCATAAGGTAAACTTTATTAGCCATCAAAAGTGTAACGTTGGGAACAGAATTCAGGTGGTTCATTATCACATTGTAACCATCTCTAGCAACTTTAGCTTCAGGTATTTTCAATGTGGAAGCAAACTTTTGAGCAGTTGTACCTTGAGCGCCCTGGTAAGCCATGGAAAGAACAGCATGAACGCTGATAGGAGAAAAAATTATATTTCCTGGCGATGTTTCGGCCAAAACGTTGTATAAGTTGGTGGTGAATTGGCTACTGCTGTCCAAGACTTCGAGTTCTGCTGTTTTTTCAGCCATTTTTGGTGCTAATGGGAACGCGCAAGAAAACTATTCCAAACAGAAAGGTAAAAAAGAAATGGTTATGTTCAGTTACAGGAAAGTAAATACAAGAAGAGTTTTACCACAAACACTAGCCGACGTGTTACTAAACTCAAATATTTCACAAATCGTTTTTAGCGAACTATTTTTAGGTAGCAGTTACTTTCTGAGTTCTCGTACTGGCAAAATATCTAGATGAACGTTCGGTGAAAAAAAGTAAACTTTGGTGAGCAATGTTGATTGTTTAATAGTATTCCTATGACGTGTTTTGTTTTCAAGTACTCGTGTGACAACTACTAACTCCGGCGTGCAGGAAATACTGCTGCATTTTGGGAAACATCATCAAGGTTAACAATTCAGCAGGAAAACTTATTGTTCGTGTTGATCCTTGTATGCAACCAACATAACGTATTATGAATTAACCTGTTGCATTACGAATCAATGTGCAAGCATCATGTAGAGTTTTGTATCAGTACGTAGTCAGATAAGTTCCAGTTTTTTAAAATTAACTGAAAAAGATAGTGTATATTTTTCAGTATCACATAATTACTTTAGTGCTCATTTATATTTAATTTAAAATTCATTATTTGTGTAGGATTATATGGACAATAATAATTTTTGGATGTAACGTCCAATTTGCTCCCGAAGAAATCGAAAAATGGGTATAAAAGGGGTTACCAACAATTTCTGAAGTGGTATGAGGAAAAAGGTATTAGGGATATTTGTTTTGAAGATGTGTTGCTGGTTAACTATTCTGAAGTCTCTGAAACCTTAAAGTCTGATCTCTGGTCGTCAAAAATTAAATCAAATTCACTTATTCATCATAACGGATATGCTGTTCATAACAGAAGCTTCAGATGAAATTGCTGGAGTTGAGATGTCAAAATCTCTTAAATTTGTAAATAGGTGATATTCGAGATGAAGGAGCAGTTACAAATGTAAAACATACAAAACGCAAGATAGCCGTTTTTTTATTTTGTATAAAAGCAAAAAGTGCTCAACTCAACCAGTAGGAAAAATAGTGTAGACAAAATACTTGCAACCTATTTGAAGCTTTTTGATGCTAAATTCTATACAGGGCACAGAATGAGAAGAACATCAGCAACTTTGTTGGTAGACAATGGTGTTGAAAATCTGGTGGTTGGAAATTTGAAAATGTGTCGGAAGGCTATATAGAATCTTCAGCTCAAAGTAAGACAAATCAATGTGCACCTAAATACCAATGATTGGTTGGAATTAAAATTTAAGCAACTTTTCACGTTTTTAAAAAGGAAATTTGCTGCGTCGATTTTATCGGGATAAGTCAATGATAAAGGTGGTTAGATTAAGTGCACAGAGGTGTGTAAATTAGTAGGTCTCAGTAATACATATTTATTATCCACCTTAATTAATAATTAGTTTCTTCTGTTATAAAAAAAAGACAACTTGATTCTTAAAGTTGTGGATTTGTTATTTTTCCAGTAAATAAAATATTTGGTTTCCCACTGGATTTTTCCAACAACATAAAAACAAACGGATGATCAGCAGTGAATGTCATATTTGGGCCTTCTATGCAACACTCAGGCACGATCATCATTGCTGTAACAAAAAAAAAATATTAACTTTCAAATAATAGGTGTTCAAAGGGGTTATCAAGAAAATGTATGGAGCGTAATTAACTTTCAGGAAAAATGTTTAGAACTCATTTGATCGGTGAGTTATTTAATATAAATATTATTACTTATACAAATTATATGAAACGGACAACAACTTCTTCAAACACCTTTTTCCCAAAATTATTTCTGGTCCGTGTAATAGTAAGGTGACCAACTTCCAAACATCAAAAAGGAGTACACAACAAAGAAATATATTTTCTGATTTAGCTATATTTTTTAAATATTGTTTTGACGTTTGGCGACTCACGACACTGCCATGTGTTAAACTCTGTTCTAACACTCGTAAAATACCACATAGATGGGTCTATAGCTACCTCTACCTTTTCTACAACGGTTTTGAAACATGAATATTAAATATACTGAAAAAAGTAAGTAAAGAACATATTGAGCAAACAAAAACAACAATTAGAACACATTCACCGTCTAAACAAAATATTTCTATGTGTAGGAAAAAACAACACTGTAATAAAAACTTACCAGTCGCTGCAGCTGCCTCAGCGCCTTCTTCATTTACTTCAATAAAAGCTTTCTGTATAACTTTGCTCACATATAGTGATTCTTGTGACGTAATCATGCCACTGAAATTTGCTTTAGATGGATTAAATATATCTCCAAGTCCAAGCTGAAAAATAAAAAAACTGAACATATGTTTTGTATAATACCGCAACTATTAACAGAAATTGTATATTACCTTGGTTAAAGAATCTTCTAAGTCAATGGTTTGTTCGATTTTGAATCTTGGCAAGGCAACGGTAATTTCAATGTACATCATTTTATTTGTGATTTCAGTTAAGTCTACCGTTGCCAAGTTCTTTTCCACTTCGGCAATTTGCTTTCCTGTAAAGGGCAAAATAATGACCATACTAAGATTGTCATTAGTGTAAGGTAATTCTAAAATTTGAGCTCCCAACTCTCTAACACCTTTATAGTGGAATTTCCTCGTCATATGCATCATTTCCACATCTACTGAATCTACATCATTGAGATAGAATGGTTCAGTTCTAGTGTCTTCTTTGTCAAATTCATGCATCCAGTTGCCCTTGAAATAGATAGCGTTTACAAGGACTAAACGGGTGAAATCGCCTAAATTGTCTTTGCTGATTAAATTTTTGATTTTTTCTTTTGTTTTCTCTTCAACCCAAACGTTAATAGTTGCAGCAGCTGCCTCATTTGCACCAAAATTAAGTAATTGTACTTCAGATAAGAAATTTTTAGTGACAGCGTCGCTAAAGTCTGGTAAAAGCTTGTATCGCTCCATAAGGTAAACTTTATTAGCCATTAAAAGTGTAACGTTGGGAATAGAATTTAGGCGGTTCATCACAACATTGTAACCTTCTTTAGCAGTTTTAGCTTCAGGTATTTTTAATGTAGAAGCAAATTTTTCAGCAGTTGTACCTTGCGCACCTTGGTAGGCCATGGAAAGAACAGCGTGAATGCTGATAGGAGAGAAGATTATATTTCCTGGCGATGTTTCGATCAAAACGTTGTATAGGTTGACGGTGAATTTGCTATTGCTGCACAAGATATCGAGTTCTGCTGTTTTATCCGCCATTGTTCTTGGTAAACGAAATGTTCAGGGAAACTATTCGAAAGAGAAATGTAACAAATAAGAAATTGCTAAATTGGTGTAAGATTAAAATAAACACAACAAGAGTTTTACCGCAAACATCACTGACTTGCTACTAAACTCAAGCATGTCACGCATCGTTTTTCAACTACCAAGCGAACTATTTTTAAGTATAGTTACTTTTAAATTTTCGTACTGGCAAAATATCTGCATCGATGTTCGGTGAAAAATAAAAAAATTTAGTGTGCAATTGATTTTCCATGACGTGTTTTTTTATTTAGCGTGGGCGTAACACTGCCGCATGTTGGGAACATCAAGGTTAATAAATAGTTCAACAAAAAGCTATTTACACTGTCCCATATACGCAGCCAAAATGACGTCGTATTGATTAATTTGTTGCAGTGGATATTAATGTCATGAATTCATGATACATAATGTATGTATTATGTATATCTATTATATCAATGTAGAAGCGGTCAGTATAATCATAATCGACTACAAAATGCAATAGCTCAGAAGCTAGGTTAATGTGAACTGTATAAAATTAACGCTGCTTTAAATAAAGTAAAACAGATTAAAATAATTCATATTCTTTATTATTCATGATCATGAGTGCATGGACAGTAGGTTTTGCCTATAATAATATACAATGGGTTTCACCAGTAACCATGATTCCGCCAGAATTGAGATTGCCACCTAGAATACATTTCTAAAGCATTCGAAGATCTACTAATTGAAAAAAAAAATTCAGCCTTGTAACGTCGGACTTATAATATAATTTGGCAAGAAAGTCACTTTTAAAGTGGAGAACAAAAATTGTTTATTCCTCCATTATTAAGAGATAAATAGACGGACTTATTTCCCAGCTGCGGAAACCCTCTCTAGCTTCTAAAAATGAAATCAAAACTAATTAAATAAGTACAGAAAACAATCGTGATTAAAGTAACGGGATGCATATATTCACGATGGTGTAATGGCAAACAAAACTGAGTGAACAACAAACTACCCAACATCTTTGTACAAGAAGACACGGTATGCTACTCCGTGGGTGCTTTGCACCAGCCACGTGACGTCACATTGCCTTGGAAACCGTGCTTCTGACAATTTCGAAAGCTGTCAAATGTCAGTTTATCAGTGATATGTGAGGTTATAACGAATTTGGGTTGCATCTTTGACTTGGTTGGGCTTATCATTTGCCATTTCAATCAAAAGAAAGTATGACTGTGCTACTGTCTACTCTATTTAAACGTGCATTAATTAATTATATGGTAGTGCCATTTAAAAAAAAATCAAGTTGGTCGTGCATCTCGAAAACAAATGAAGCAAAAAAAACTTTTTCCACGAGTAATTAGAGCATAACTTTTTGTACTCCTATACCTAATTTCAGTTGATTTGTACAATTGGTTCTCAAGATATTTAACCGTGTCTATACATTCTAGCAACCCTGTATGTATTTCCTAAAAAGTTGATGACATCGTAAAATTTTATTATGAAAAAAATACATTTTAACATTATACTCCGTGATACCAGTCAAAATGGTAAAGATAAAATATATAATTAAGCGTAATTGTCTCATGTCAGACGAAGTCGTTTAAAAAACTGTTAAAGAATGTATACGTAAGTTGTTACAATTCGAGTATAATATTATCTAGTAACGTCAATACACATATGTGAATATGAGACCTAAAATTGAAAACAACAAAATTTAGATTATATGTTCCATAAAGCAAACGTAAAAAATAGTATAGATATTTATTTTTTATGTTAAAGTACATAGTAGTTCCACAGAAAATATAAATATATTCTTAAAGTTGGGGGTTTGTTATTTTTCCAGTAAATAAAATATTTCGTTGACCCATCGATTTTTCCGTCAAAAATAAAATAAACGGATGATTAGCAATGAAGTAATATTCATCTTCACAGTACGAACACTTCGTGAGCATCGATCCTGAAATAAAAAATACTCTAGTTATCTAAATATTTACATGACATTCATGAAAGTTATATTTTAGGTATTGGACGAAGGAGCATATTGAGAGTACGAAACCGTAAGGCTGAGTACAGCTCCTGAGTCCAGCAGAATAACTTCCGTTACGTGTTTTGTATATTTTTTTTCTGAAAGCGCACAAATAATTTACCTTATTTTAAATTTTCATTTTAAAATTTTTATTTTTAACAGTATGTTTTGTTGGAAAACATCAGATTTTGTGTATAGATGGCTCAAGAACATAAATAAACATTAACGATTCAGTTTTGAATTTTTGTGATCTTTAATGGTGAATTGTGATAAAAGTAAATTCGGAACATTCGCAGATGGAGATGTATCCGAGACTGGGGCGGTTAATAGTGCAAAGATATGAAAAAGCTTATATGACGTTTCTTTTAATTGATGCCATGAAGTATGTATTACTTCTGTAATGAAAAGGAGTACGGTGAAATCTTTACAGTACAAGTATGCTAATGGTCAACGTTACGAAATTCAAAAGTGATACACTTTAAATAAAACATTCTTTCCGGAAGATATTTACGATATTCATTTTGTTCTTTTAAGTAACATGATGAAGATATGCATGTATCTCGATATTTGGGACACAGATAATTTTAGTTTTGTGAAAGAGGTTGCTACTGCTAAACAGTAACTTTTATTATTTTATCTTTAAAACTTCCGTTGTTCACTAACAGACCCAACAATAACATACAAAAATGAAAAACTTACCAGTAGCTGCTGCTGCCTCAGTCCCTTCTTCATTTACTTCAATAAAAACTTTCTGTATTACTTTGCTTACACATAGAGACTCCTTTGAAGTAATCATGGCGTTGAAATTAGCTGCAGAACTAAATATTTCTCCAAATCCAAGCTGAATAACAAAAAAAAAAAAAAATTATCGCACTTCAAAACTAGAGATAATTCTTGAAAGTTACATATACCTTAATTAAAGAATCCTTTAAATCAATGGTTTGTTCAATTTTGAATCTTGGCAAAGCGACGGTAACTTCTTTAGTATACATCCCATTTGTGAATTCAGTTAAATTTACACCAGCCAGCTTCTTTTCCAATTCGGCAATTCCATCTCTCTTGAAGGGCAAAATAATGACCATGCTTAGGTTGTTATTAGTGTAAGGCAGTTCTATAATTTGAGCTTCCAACTCTTTAACAGATTTATAATGGAGTTCTCTCTCGATATGCATCATTTGCACATTTACCGAATCTATATCATTAAGATAGAACGGTTCCGTTTTGGTGTTTTTCTTGTTAAATTTATGCTTCCAATTGCCCTTGAAGTAAATAGCATTTATAAGCACTAATCGTGTGAGTTCGTCCAAATCCTCTCCGATGACTAAATTTTTGATTTTTTCTTTTGTTTTCTCTTCAACCCAAACGTTAATAGTGGCAGCAGCTATCTCACTCGCACTAAAATTAAGTAACTGCACTTCAGATAGGAAATTTTTAATAACAGCGTCGCTAAAGTCCGGCGAAAGCTTATATCCTTCCATAAGATAAATTTTGTTGGCCATCAAAAGTGAAACGTTGGGAACGGAATTCAGGCGGTTCATCACAGTATTGTAACCTTTTCTAGCAATTTTAGCATCAGGTATTTTCAATGTAGAAGCAAAATTTTCAGCAGTTGTACCCAGGGCACCTTGATATGCCATGGAAAGAACAGCATGAATGCTGATAGGAGAGAAGATCATATTTCCTGGTGATGTTTCCTTCAAAACGTTGTATAGGTCGACGGTGAATTGGGTATTGCTGTCCAAGATTTGGAATTCTGCTGGTTTTTCGGCCATTGTTGGTTATGAAAGATGTGCACAAAAACTTATCCAAGGAGAAATGTGACGAAGAGGAAATGATTATACTCGCTGGAGTAAAATGAACATAAGCAAAGTGTTATCACAAACACTGGTCGACTTGATACTAAACTTAAACTTAACACACATCGAGTTTTATTTGTTAAGAGAACTATTTATAAGCAATTATTGATGTGCAGTGCTGATTATGTTAAACTATTCGGATGACGTGTCTTGTTTTCCTTTAACCGCAACAGCTACCCCATGCGTGAGTTATAGTACTGCTGCATTTTAGGGGATATCATCAAGAAATTTTTTTTTACCGATTTAAATTCAATCTATAGAATATTATTAATTATATCCCAATGTCACTGTCACATTATTACGTCCCGAGAGTAAGTTAAGAAAATATTGTAATAAGGTCCACATGACGAATGGCTAATTTTGGTTGCTGACTAGTTACTTGTTTCGAATGTTCGGCTATGAAATAATGGGAATTTAATATATAAAATATAGAGAAGAACATTTAGACACTAATAACAAAATTATTTATTTGGGTGTGGGTAAAACTCATTACATACTAGAAAACCCATAGGCGTCGTACCGGGGCGGTGTATGAGTTTACTTCGTAATAATACATTAAGGTCGTAGCACGAGAACAAAGATAATTCAAGTATAACTTCCGGATTTCAGTACATTTTTCTTTCATTCTTTATTAGCTTTATTCAAAATTCAGTAGAAATTCGGGCAGCGATTCGCTTTGGAGAACATTCGTAGATCACACTGGTAGCACGACCGGAGGCACCTCGAGACTTGAACTGCATTTAGCTTCCGGTGCTTTCGCTTTTTTAGTGTCTTTTGCCCATTTGATACTTGCAAGTTTGCGAATTTTGATCTTACATTAGGGAATTTAATGAATGCAATTCCCCGCGACAAAACGACAAATATTTTCTGTTTTCCTTGCCGTGGGGATAAATGTTATGTTAAATTCTATAAAATTAACGCTACTTTCGGCCATTAAATATAGATAGTGTATATTCTTTCCCCCATAAAAAAATCTTCATTTCTTACTTACCTACTTTCATTGACTTTAAAAATTATCCCCTGGAAAATGATGAATTACTCATGAGTGAGGATTACATGGACAATAAGTTTTGCCAAAAATCTATGCACCTACCATAAATCTGTAGGAAATTTACTTCATACGTATACTCATAAACGGAAGCTTCTAATGTTTAAGTTCGTAGTGAGAAAATTGTTTCATTTTCTGTATGAAGTGACACTGTACCTCGTTTAAAAGGGGTTAAATTCGATAGTCAATAGTTTAAAGTCAACAGAATCCCTCACAACTTCGGAGCCGCTGCAGACATAGCTTGGAAATTTGGAATGAAATAATGAGCAATCCAATGATGCGGATCGTCTTTATGGTGATGTGCTGTGTCTTTGAATTATTGTAAGTTGGTTAACGGATCTACAATAAAATTACAAGTCAACTTAGAAAAAGCAAGTAGTTGTTTGACAGTACGACTAAGTCGGTACACGACTGTAGCTAGCAAAATTTTTACAATTTTCAAGAGAGAAGTCCCAAAATCTTTGGTAGTGTCGGTTCGTTTGGTAAGCCTATTTTCAAATGAATAATTAAAGACGATATTCATTATTACCAAAATACATTTACCTTTACATTAACACCCATTACATTAACATATTGTTTTCATTTAAGGCAACAGATTTTTTTTTAATACAGTGATAAATTTAAAACTTACCACCAAATACCGGATTCGAATACGTTTATATGATGTAAGTCATTAACAAAAATGACAAAAACAAAGGTCCCAGTGCGGGGCCCTGCTACACTCCCGACTGCTGTAAGAATGACGTTGATTTGTGCTCCTTATAACGAATATAAAAAGATCTTTCAGTGAAATATAATACAATTAGTGCAAGCAGATTTTAAAACATTCTAAAAAATTCTATAAGAGCAATGCATGATCCACACGATCAAATGCCTTGGAATAGTTGTCCAGATTGTACATACATCAACTTGTTTTTCTTGTCAAGTGACTCATTCCAATATTGCGCATTTGTGACTAAGTTTGTTAGTGTAGATTTTCCACCCATAAAGCTATGCTGAATCAACGAAATGTTGTTAGCAAAGTGATTATAATTTTGTAATACATAGAAGATAAATTCAAACATTTTGTAATATACATATGTTAATTATAGCTTTATACTATACTATATTATATCAGACAGATCCCTATTCTTAAACATTGGACATATCTGAGAAGTTTAAGAAGGAAATAAGGTTATTGGATGGTTGTGGTTTTTTTTTCTGGTATATGCTTAGAACGCAAACTTCAGCATTAGATGAATGTATGTACTTTATGTGCAAATTACAAGTTTAATATAATATTTAGTAACGTAAAACATTTTGCGCGAATATAAAAATTAATATTAGAAACAATCGAGTAGAATAAAAAAAAGCAACAACAAACATTTATTTTACATTTTAACTAGTTAAAGAGTTCCACAGAGGAAACAGATCTGTTCTTACAGTTGAGGGTTTATTATTTTTCCAGTAAATAAAATATTTGGTTTACCAGAAGATTTTTCTAACAGCATTAAAATAAAAGGATGATCAGCAGTGAAGTAGATATTTGGACCCATTAGAAGGCTTTCAGTCATGATCACCACTCCTGCAATAAGAAAAGTATGTCAACACCCAAATAATAAATAAACATATAAATATGTTACATCTTTTTGAAAGGGATTATCCCAAAAATAATAGAACGTAATCTAATTTCAGGAAAAAATTGTTTAGAACTTAATTTATCAATGAGCAGCTAATTAAATAAGGTATACCATCTATAAATTGTATGGAACGGGCACTGACAATTTCTGCAAACACCTTTTTTACAAATTTATTTCTGCTATATATTATGCAGATATTAAAGACTAATCAGGGACGTTTTTACTAGACTCTCGATTTTTTGCCATTTTATATACCCTCTATTCCAAACCGAAAAGGAAACTGAAATATGGAAGTTATAGACACCAATGTAACAAAAAATATTATATCCTCAAGATAGCTGCATTTGCAACTTTCCTTTTTTTCTCTTATTACCTACGTAACACGATCAACATATTTATTTATTTAAATATGTGAAGAACAAATAAAACATATATTTTTTAATTAATTAATGATATATTAATAAAATTTCCTTTGTACCACTCACACGCTGCAATAATTTATGTGTATGTTAAATTGCACTTTAACAAGTACAAGATCACACAAATGAGTTCACAGCAACTTTGGTTTTAGAAATATGTTCTTTAGATGCATCAATTTTTAAACAAAAATTATTAATATATATAAAAAAAAATGCAAAAACTGATTAAATTCATACTTAATGTAAATAAAAATAACCATGAAATAAACAAAACACTCACAAACTCACAATTGAAATACATTATGTTTGAGTAGACAAAAATAACAACATAATAAAAAGTTTACCAGTCGCTGCAGCTGCCTCAGCGCCTTCTTCATTTACTTCAATAAAAGCTTTCTGTACAATTTTGCTCACAAATAGTGACTCTTTTGAAGAAATCATGCCACTGAAATTAGCCGCAGATGGATTAAATATTTCTCCAAGTCCAAGCTGAATAACAAAGAAAAAAATCATAAGCTGAATAACAAAGGAAAAAGAACACAACCATTTTATGGTCGTTTCAAAATTAGGGACAATTCACGACAGCGCTATATTACCTTGGTTAAAGAATCTTCCAGATCAATGGTTTGTTCAATTTTAAATTTTGGTAAGGCTACGGTAACCTCAACGTACCGCATTTTATTTGTGATGTCTGTTAAGTTTACACCAGCCAGTAGTTTTTCCAATTCGGCAATTCCATCTTTCTTGAAGGGCAAAACAATGACCATGCTAACGTTGTCGTTAGTGTAAGGCAATTCTAAAATTTGAGCTCCTAACTCTTTAGCAGATTTGTAGTGATATTTTCTCGTTATGTGCATTATTTCCACATCTACTGAATCTCCATCATTAAGATAGAACGGTTCAGTTTTAGTGTCTTCCTTGTCAAATTTGTGCATCCAACTGCCCTTGAAATAGATAGCGTTTACAAGCACTAAACGGGTAGATTCATCTAAATTTTGTTTGTCTATTAAATCCTTGATTTTATTTTTTGTTTTCTCTTCAACCCAAGTGTTAATAGTTGCAGCAGCTGTCTCACTGGCACCAAAATTAAGTAATTGTACTTCAGATCGGAAATTCTTCGTGACAACGTTACTAAATTCTGGTAAAAGCTTGTGTCCCTCCATAAGATAAACTTTGTTAGCCATCAAGAGTGTAACGTTGGGAACAGAATTGAGACGGTTCATCACGATATTGTAGCCTTCTGTAGCAATTTTCGCTTCAGGTATTTTCAATGTGGAAGCAAATTTTTCAGCAGTTGTACCCCGGGCACCTTGGTAGGCCATGGAAAGAACGGCATGAAGGCTGATGGTAGAGAAGATTATATTTCCTGATGATGTTTCGTTCAAAGCATTGTATAGGTTAGTGGTGAACTGGCTATTGCTGTCCAAGACTTGGAGTTCTGTTGTTTTTTCGGCCATTGTTGACTGAAAGAAGTGGACAAGAAAACTTATCTAGGAAGAAAGATGCGGGGAAGAAGTGGTTATCTTAGTGTTGGAGTAAATTAAATACAAGAACCTTTGCCACCAACACTAGCCGGTTTGTTTGTTACTAAGCTCAAACATAACACACACTATTTTTACAAGCCAAGCGACCTCTTTGTATAAGCAACCGTTACTTTTTAAATTGTTATACTGGCAAAGTATCTCAACTAACATTCAGTGAAAAAAGGTTGCAATGTTGATTGTATTATTAATCTAATCTTATGACGTGTTCTGTTTTTGTGTAATTGTTTTGGGTGGGGGTCATGCTGGTGTTTATATGCAACCAACATTATATGTCATCACTCATCAGACATCAGGTCATCACTATCAGCGGATTAGATGTCATGTTACCGGTACAATATAAATTTTTTCAGAAGCTAGTTTAAATTAATAATTATTCTGCTGCAAATGATATTCACCCTATTCCGTGTCTAAAAAAGACACAAATAGAAATATCTTGCTTTTTCATTATGAAAAGTTATTATTATTTCGTACAATTGATCTACTTAATATATTTTTTATCGTCGATAGTATCAGAATGCTATGATTATGAATGTCAAAATCGTTAATAACACAGGCCTGTATTTTTTAACTTTTGAAACATTATTCTCAATTTGATTGCTGATTCTTATGTGTTTCTGAGTGTTGAATCCAAATATGAATTTCATTTTTTCCAATCCGGTAAGGATTTTTCACAAAAAGGCTTGAACATTTTTTCTTCAATCATCAAATACATTATTTACAGGTGATTGGAAAACTAAATTATTTTAAAATCTACTTAAATCTAATCAAAACACACAGTAAATACTAAATATAGCAAAAGAAGAAAATTAAACGAATGAAGTTTTCGCAAAATTAATTGCACAAACTCGCACCATATCGTTGTATCAACTTTTTGCATCATTATAACTAAAAAAAAAGCGATACTATTGTAAAGGATCAATAGCTAACGCCTGTAGATAGAACAAAAAAACCCTTACATAATGGAATTTTAAAAATATTTTGCTCTTTTCAACACTAAAAACTATTAAAATCACTAGATAAATTCCAGACAACTTGACCATCGCAGGCCTGTATAATCCCACACTTCATAGTATCCGTGCAGTGATGTTCTGCCATAAAGTCGGATTGACAACGAAGAATGTACTCGGATCTATTATTAATTAATTCATTAATTAATTTATAATATTAATGGTACAATTAGAAAGTACAGATATTGAAATCTCCTAAGTAGATGCAAGAACACATTCATTTGTAGTCGATGTATAAATTTCTTTCCTGATTTCTTTAATACCCATGTAATTTCTGCAGCTAACAGATTCGAATTTCCTAGCAATCCTGTTATTATTCTTTCTTGAATCACCGTGTGTATTCTAATATCGGCCCCACTATCTGCTATAGTATAGATTGTAGCAGATGTTCGCTAAAGCCAATGACCATTGAATTGGATAGCATTAGGAATGATGAGATATTTTGCAATATTCCAAGAAATTTGGCCCAATGTATTAATACCAATAGGGTTTCATGTACATCTGCCAACACTATAGAATAAAAAGTACGCACTTTTCAATGTAGTTTAAGTTTTCAACATTCAAAGTTGTGAATGTTCTAGGTCTATGAGTTTTAGTTTCTTAAATGCACCACAAAGACTAAACTTTTTTCCTTCACATTGCAAACGCATCCATTGTAAAATTCTATACGTCGACAAGCACCGAACAGACCGAATATTGCAACTACCTAAAACCTAATTTTACAACAAACTTTTGTAGCAAATAAGAAAAACCACACACCTTCAGAAAGACGTACTGTTCGTCTAGAGCCGCACTCAAAAAATACTAACCGCTCTTTCGAAAAGACTAGATTTTCTATTGAATAACCAACTGAACAATTGTTCAAAAATGCAGCAAGTTCAAAAAATAATGACGACGATTATCGATTCTATAGTGTCTAAGTTAAATTGTAAAACGTTGTACAGTGTTGATTTTTTTCCTAAAGAAGTAGATGAAATTAAAAACAAGGGTGAGCTAATAAACCGCATGCTTGGAAATATATTATTTTATTATTTTTTGTCTAACCATCTATGTTCTATACGATTACTAAAATACTGCTAAAATTTCAAAACACAATTGTGAAAAAAAAAAAACAAAGTCGACAGACAGATGGAAACGGGAAACGTAATTTTCCATATGGTAGGAGATATAAAACTTCTCCAAAACATGAAATTAGTCAGTAATCGAATACGCTCTATAGTAATATTTCTTAGTCCTAGCTTAAGTCGGAAAGTAAAAAACCACATATATACAAATTTGGGTTCCTTCGCTGGGTACATACGCGGCTCCGCGAATTGATTTTTTCTGAAGGTCGGATTTTGTATCAATTTATGTATGTAGCTTTTGTTTCACGACAATTAATGTTAGTGGTCGTATTTTCCTCACGGAACGACTGTCTCAGCAAACGAAAACTGTCCGATTCAAATACATTTTAATGCCAAAAAGCAATTTTTATAATTTAATCTTTAAAAGTTTCTTTTAGACATTAATTTGTGTGTTAAACTCTATACTAACTTGTAAAAAATTAAGCAGATGGAACCTTAAGCACACATTGTGACTATTAGTTTGGAAATATTTTCTTTAAATGCATTCCTTACATATAGATATTGAATCTATTGACAATGAACATGAGAACTGAAACAAAAGAATCTGAATCACGAGTGCAATAAAACAAAAGTAAACAACACAAACATTTATTTTACATCTTAACTTGTTTTCATCTATTCCAAAGAAAATATATACAACTTCATTTTTAAAGTAGCGGGTTCATTATTTTTCCACTAAATAAAATGTGTGTTCCAGTGGATTTTTCCAACAGCACAAAAAGAAATGGACGATCGGCAGTGATGGTTATATTACGTTCTGGATCATACCAGCCATCTCGCCTTCCGCTTATTGCTGCAAAAAGGTAGATATATCAACATTCGAATAATAAATAGACATATATATTTCACAGGAGTTAAATATTTCAAAAAAAAAAGAGAAAGTAATTTCATTTGATTTGCTGATGATATTTAAATATTTTTATCCAAATTACATCCTATTCGCTCGAAAATTTCTGCAAATATTTTTGTCAAAAAATTTCTGGCTGCTCTATAATGTAATTTTAAGTACAGTCCAGATTGATTGATTTTTAAGAACGGACTATATTTTGTATTCTCTACGTTCATTCTTCTTATACTGTTTTGGTGGAAAACAGAAAATCTTTAGTGTATCCGTGTAACTGAATAAACGGGTTCACATAGATATAGAAGTTTTATTTATTTTATTTTTTTATTACTCCTATAAGTTAACACAAATCTGTGAGTGGACTGTTTAACTACAGGTATGTCATGTTTATGTGCATGTTTCAAGTGAGTTTCCATAACAAAATTTTGTTATGACGTCTTCAACACTTTAGGAGGGATATTTATTAAATTTTCCGGAAAATAAGGTGAACCATTCTTGGTTTAATCAATAGAATAAAATAGCTGCTGTCCGGTGATGATCCACGGATCTCTCATCTGCTACCGTTGGGCCACCGCTGTGCCGATAGTGGATCGATTGTGGGTCTAAAGAAGACGGTTCAAACAACAAAATATCTAAATGATGATAATCTGTCCAGTAGTTTCGGAGATTTTCTGTTTCGTAAAAATCGACACCGACGACAGACAGACGTATGTATACGAAGAAAACAACATATTTAATAAACAAAAACTCACCAGGAGTTGGTGGCGCATCAGACCCGTCTTCATTTACTTGGAAAAACACTTTTTGTATAACTTTGCTTACATGTAAAGGTTCTTTTGACGTAATCATGCCGCTGAAATTAGCTGCAGATCGATCATATATTTCGCCGAGTCCAAGCTGAATAACAAAAAAAATCACATCTAAGTATTCCGAGGCTTCAACACTACTGACGAAAGTTATATTACCTTGGTTAAAGAATCTTCCAAATCAATGGTTTGTTCAAATTTGAATTTTGGCAAGGTAAGGGTAACTGGTTGGTTGTATACCTTACTTGTAATTTTAGCCAAGTTTACAGTAGCAAGTTTCTTTTCTAACTCGGCAATTCCATCTCTCTTGAAAGGCAAAATTATTACTAAACTTAGGTTTCCGTTGGTGTAAGGCAATTCTACCATTTTCGCTTCCAAATCCTTAAATATGTTAAAACATAACGTCTTTCTCATATGCATCATTGGCACATTTACTGAGTCTACATCATTTAGATAGAATGGTTCAGTGATGGTGGCTTCGTCAAAAACGTACATCCATGTGGCCTTGAAATAAATTGCGTTTACAAGGACTAATCGCGTGGATTCATTTAAATCTTCTTCCTTCACTAAATCCTTGATTTTTTCTTGTGTTTTTTCTTCAACCCAAGTGTTAATAGTTGCAGCAGCTGCTGTCTGGTCACCAAAATTTAGTAACTGTACATCAGACAGAAAATCTTTAGTGACAGCTTCACTGAAATCTGGTAAAAGTGTAGGTCCCTCCATAAGGTAAACTTTATTAGCTATCAAAATAGAAACCTTCGGAACGGAAATAAGACGCTGCATTATAACACTGTAACCATCTCTAGCAATTTTAGCCTCGGGTACTTTTAACGAGGAAGCAAATTTTTCAGCTGTTGTACCTTGGGCGCCTTGGTAAACCATAGAAAGAACAGCATGAAGATTGATGGGAGAGAAGATTATATTTCCTGGTGATGTTTCAGCCAGTACATTGTATAGGTTGTTGGTGAATTGGCTACTGCTGTCTGAAACTTGGAGTGCTTCTGCAGTTTTTAAGACCATTGTTGTTGATAAAAGAAGCGCACATGAAAACTTATCCAGGAACAAATTTGACGAACAGTAAACAATTACATTCGTATTAAAGTACAATAGATACAAGAAGAGTTTTACCACACCTACGGGTCGAGCTGCTACTAAACTAAACCACACCGATTTTTATTTACCAAGCGATCTATTTATAAGCAGACGTTACTTTTTAAATTACCATACTGGCAAAATATATACATTGCATGAAAGGAAGTAAAAATATTTTATGTCCAGTAGTGATTAAGTATTTTCAACTGTTTAATGAAACCGTGTCAGCTATTTATCTCTCGCGTGGGCGCAATACTGCTGCGTTTTGGGTGACATCCTTCAAGGTTAGCAATTTAGCAGGAAAGTATTCCTGCTGAATTTTATATGCAACCAACATAACGTATTATTAATTATATTCTCAATGCCATTTTTATATCAATGTATCAATGATTGGCTTTGAAGTGATATTATAATCCAATGCAAGCTGCAGTTTTTCAGAGGTTAACACAAATGGTATAAAAGTAATGCTGTTTTAAATCAAGTGAAACAGTAACTGTATATTATTCCCCTATCAAAAACTTTTCTACTACTTCTAGTTTAAGAATCATTTCCTGGATTTACCATCAATGTGCGCAAAAATGTTTATCTAAAATGTATGTGTATATTATAAACCTAAGAGAAATATTTTTCTTTACTTTTCACCACGATTGTCGGCTACAGTTTTTTTAACCTTTTCTATATAGTCCGATTTCAAGACAAATAAATTACCAAAAATTAATGTTTTCCTGCTGGTGACGATTTTTAGTTCACCTCGTGAAAGATTAGAGCTTTATCTTTTTAATATCGGCACCTAATATTTGATAATATAGTTACGAAACAACCCATTGTCCACCCAGGTATGACGCCGACGGGTTGTCTAGTATGTACATTGTCGCGATGACCGATGAGTCATCATCGTCAACGGCGGCACTCCAATAAAGAAAAGCTTAGAAGCGAAAGTCTCGGTGGCGGGCTTCAGAACAACTTCGAAACAGGGATCGCGGACCATCCAGCAGGAACGCGTGGTTGTTTTTACATAGGGAGTACCATCGGGAGCGGACTGCCTGTTCAAATCCATTCCAGTCGATTAATGACTACAAGTTAAGTTGAGAGCTGTACATTAACTCTGTATAGTTGTGCAGTTGCGTATTATCGGGAAAGGAATTGTTGAGTTTTACCCAACGCCGATTTAATTTCCGTAAATCGTAACAATATACTATATATAATCATGTTCTTTTTCTTATTTTTTGTACCAAAACTGTAACTGTTTGTATTCCAGATTGTAATACCGTTAAAAGTGGTATGTATAGGTACGTACAACTCTCGATTAATAAGATGAGTACATTTTGAAGGACGTTTAGTATAAAATCGCAGAAATAAGTTACCAGATAGCTGTCAGTTTGTAATAACTGTAGAAGTACAGTAACTACAGAGTTTTAATTGGCAGCTAATTAGTTTGGCTTTGATTTGACAGAAAATGACTGATGTACTTTATTTCTTTAATATGCCTGAAGTTAGCTTTGGTCAAACTAACGTTTCTCGACTATTTATCTTCAATATTAAATACAATTACGTACCACCACAGTGGACTGATAGCAGGTGATGTGAATGCAAGAGTTGCAGAAAAGCAAATGACGAAATAGTAGAGTGATTCAGAGGTATAGGAAAACGACATGAACTGAGACTAACCATCATTCAATTTACACATACATAGCTATACAGGGTGATTCATGAGAAATAATGAGCCTGAAAAAATGCAGCCAACAATACTTTGCAGAGCTTATGTAGATTCAAAATTCTATTTTTAATAAATATACAAAGATAGCAAACATATCTAAAAGTTTGTCAATTTTGACATTAAAATTATAAAAACTCAAATAAGTGAACTACTAACGGAAAAGATGTTTTAATAACGAACAAAACATAAAAACCAAGCAAATCAGTTAAGAAGATGTTCAAAATGCTGCCCACCACTTCTTTCGCACGTTTCAATGCGGTTCCAGAAAAATCTTCTCACCTCATCAGCATCGCTGGCGTTACAAATCTACAAGCGACAGTTATTCTATGTTCCAGATCTTCTCTGTTGTTGACAGGTGTTTGGAAGACACGATTTTTGACCATTGTGCATAAAAGGTAATCTAGCGGAATTATATCCGGACTTCTAGGGGATCAAGGATTAATTGAACCATTTATTTGCATGCACTGCATCTAAATAGTGACCCACGTCTCTGTGGAAATGCGGCGGTGCGCTATCCTATTGAAGCGACTGTTTTGTCTTCTTTGTAAATCTACCTGCTCTAACAACATTGGCAGAATGTTTCTCAGAAAATTGAAATACACTTGACCATTTAATCTTTCACGAAACAAATATGGTCCTATAATTTTGTTGCCCAATATTCCACACCAGGCATTTGTAGACTAATCAACATACCAAGTGTCCTTCGTGAATCTAGGGGAGGTTATTCTGGGCATAGTAGTGATAGTTATGCCTATTTACACCCTTATTGTTCCTAAAAGATGCCTCATCACTGAAAAGCAGATTTCTTATTTCGTCAGTGAATAAAATATATGGTTTTCCAGTGGATTTATCCAACAATAATTATAGAACAAATGGGTGATCACTGATCAGAAATGAAAAAGATATCTGAACCGACGATAAATGAAGGATGGTGCTGTATACGGACATAAGTTAACATGCAAATAATAAAAATGCAATTTCTAAAGTGTTCATTCAAAAATAATTCTTTATGAAATCAGTACATTTCATACAAATTATTAAATTCAGGCACGTGTCCTTTTTCCTAAAGTATTGCTACTTTTCCATGTTACATGTTTCACACCAATGATGGTCATTAGTAACTTTAACTTTTTTTCTAGTGCCGGGCTTCTTGAACTTTTTCTTCGGAATCCTCTTTGATTAATAATTTTTGTGGTTTTTTCTGAAGAACGAACACTTTAATATTGGATTGGATCACGAGTGCAATAAAACAAAAATAAACGACACAACTATTTATTTTACACCTTAAATTGTTACTTCTGTTCCAAAGAAAATACAGCTTGATTCTTAAAGTTGCGGGTTAATTATTTTTCCAGTAAATAAAATATGTGTTTCAGTGGATTTTTCCAGCAACACAAAAACAAATGGATGATCAGCAATGAAGGTGATGTCTGGACCTTCTATATGACACCTACCCCTCATTATCATTGCTGCAAAAAAATATTTACTTTAGAAAAATAAATGTAGATAAGTATATATTTTTAAACGAATTTTTTTAAATAAAGAGAAGGTAATTTAATTTCTGAGAAAACATGTTTTAACACTTAATTTATTGTTGATATTTAATTATTTTTATACAAATTCCATCATACATGCCCGAAAATTCCTGCAAATACGTTGCCACAAATTTATTGCTGCTGTGTAATGTAATTTTAAGCTGCAATCCAGATTGACTTATTTTTAAGAACTTACTATTTTGTAGTCTTCACCTTCGTCCTTCTCATTCATGCTGCATTGGTGGAGAACACAAAAATATCCAGGTATAGTGTTCCTACTGCTGGTTCGTTTTTACGACTGCATCCTATTGTGAAGGAGTTAAGTGTTCCACAATAGGCCTCTGCCGCAAGTAATCCAGTGGTCATAAATCATCAAGAGACCGACTGTCTACACTACACAGGGCCGTACGCTTTAAGATGACTTATGGCGCGGCTATTTACATTTTCAATAGAGTTCCTAATATTTGCGGTAATTGAGATTGTAGTGCCATAAAAACGAAGGCAGACTTGGACCACTATACATGAATATATCTTTTCGTCAAAATAAAAACTCTAGTAGACCGTGCAAAAAATTACTATGTTGACACTACAACTAATTAACCCTTTTTTAGATGTTTTTTTAGTGTAACTGTGGAACTGAACAGAGAACGCTTTGGTGTTGCCAACATAATTATTTTAAAAATAAATTACACCACCAACTGGAAGATTTTTTTTTTTCGAATAGTAGTTAACGACAAATTAATATACAACGATTGTAACAATTAAAACAGAATGTTCTTTCGTAGAGAAACAAAACAATATAGTAATCACAAACATACCAGTGGCCGCTGCTGCCTCAGATCCTTCCTCATTTACTTCAATAAACGCTTTCTGTATGACTTTGCTTACATGTAGGGGTTCTTTTGAACTAATCATGCCGCTGAAATTAGCTGCAGATCCATCAAATATTTCGCCAAGTCCAAGCTGAATAACAAAAAATTAACAAGCATTTATTCTAGCTATTCAAAAGTACTGACGAAATGAAAGTTATATTACCTTGATTAAAGAATCTTTTAAATCAATGGTTTGTTCAATTTTGAATTTTGGCAAGGCAACGGTAACTTGTTGGTTGTACAGCTCATTTGTAATTTTAGCCAAGTCTACAGTAGCCAGCTTCTTTTCCAACTCGGCAATTCCATTTCTCTCGAAAGGTAAAATAATGACCATACTTATGTTTCCATTGGTGTATGGCAATTCTAAGATTTGCGCTTCCAATTCCTTAACTGCGTTAAAATTAAACTTCTTTCTCATATGCATCATTTGCACATTTACTGAATCTATATCATTTAGATAGAATGGTTGAGTTTTGGTGGATTCCTTCTTAAATACGTGCTTCCACATGGCCTTGAAATAAATAGCGTTTACAAGAACTAAACGCGTGGATTCATTTAAATCTTCTTTCTTCACTAAATCCTTGATTTTTTCTTGTGTTTTCTCTTCAACCCAAGTGTTAATACTTGTAGCAGCTGCCGTCTGGTCACCAAAATTAAGTAACTGGACATCAGACAGGAAATTGTTAGTGATAGCTTCTTTGAATTCTGGTAAAAGTGTATCTCCTTCCATAAGGTAAACTTTATTAGCCATCAAAAGTGTAACGTCGGGAACAGAATTGAGATGGTTCATTATAACACTGTAACCATCTTTAGCAACTTTAGCGTCCGGCACTTTTAACGTGGAAGCAAATTTTTCAGCTGTTGTACCCCGAGCGCCTTGGTAAGCCATGGAAAGAACAGCATGAAGGCTGATAGGAGAGAAGATTATATTTCCTGGTGATGTTTCAGCCAAAATATGGTATAGGTTATTGGCGAACTGGTTATTGCTGTCCGAGACTTGGGGTGCCGCTGCCGTTTTTTCAGCCATTGTCGATGGCAAAACAAGTGCACAAGAAAACTTACTCAAGAAGAAATTTGAAGAAGAATAAATAGTTAGATTCGTATTACAGAAGAATACATACAAAAACAGTTGTATCACAAACACTGGCCGACCTGCTATTAAATTCGACCACACCACACACCGATTTTTATTGACCCGGAGAACTATTTATAACCAAATGTTATTTTTTAAAATACCATATCGGCAAAATATCTAGACTGACATTGCGTGAAAGAGAGTAAAAATATTCTCTGTGCAGTTCATTATTACATTAAACTGACGTGACGGCTGGCAATCACTACCGCTTTTTGGGAGACATCCTTCAATCTTCAAGGTTAGCAATTCAGCAGGAAATTATTTGTGCTGTTTTTATATGCAACCAACATGACGTTTTATTGATTGAGATCTGTAGGTACAGTAGGTACAGCTAAATTCCATTTTTATATTGTTGCAATGATTATTGCAATAGATGTGACATAAGCGGTTTTTCATAGGTTAACGTAAATGGTGTAAAATTATTATTATTATTATTAATAGTATTATGTGAGGCGTACGAGCAGAGGCAAATTGCCCGTTATTCCCGCGCCTTAAGTGATGTTGTTACATTTATTACTTATTAGAACATACTAACTACACTATCAGCTGTTCCAATGTGAATCCAGCCTAGATTTAAACCCATGGATTGTTTTGCTTTCAATTACTTCGACTGGTAAAGAGTTCCACAAATTGAAGATTCGATTTGTAATGAAATGCGAGCGTATAGACGACCGAAATTTTTCCTTTGCTAGCTTAAGGCGGTGTCCTCTAGTTCGATGGTTACTGTGTAGCAAAAAAAAAGAAGTCTTACTGGCGAATTATTATTTGTCAACGCCTGATATGTGATAATGGCATCATTCCTTTCAAAAGGAATTTTCGAATTTTATTGGCTTTTTTGGCAATATAACTAACATGTTCAGGCCATGAGAGATCTATAGTTATTAGTACCCCTAAGTCTCTAACATAAGAGGATTTGTCAAGTTGTTCATTGTCGAGATGATAGTTCTGTCTGGGATTATGCTTACCTATATGCAAGATGACACTTTTTTTAAGATTCATAGACAACAGCCACTCTTTAGACCACTCGTTAACCATCATAATATCTGTTGCCAATTTATCATAATTTGAGCTCTTATTATAATGTTTCATCTCATCCGCAAACATCATATATGACGATTTTAATCCGTTTACAATGTCGGAAGTATAGACTGAAAAAAGCAACGGACCCAATACTGATCCCTGCGGCACTCCACTTAAGACCGAAACGGGAGAACTAGTTGAATTACCAATTTTCACTTGAAAAGTACTATCAGAAAGAAAACCTTCAATCCACTTTAGAAGACCACCTTTAATGTCGCAATGATCAAGTTTGAGCAAAAGACGACGAACAGAAACTCGATCAAATGCCTTGGAAAAGTCCAGATACACAACGTCCAAAGACTGACCCATATCAAATTGTTTTGTCCAATCGGAAAAACAGCAGAGTACCTACGTTAGTGATCATCGATTTTCCAGGAATAAACCCGTGTTGTTGCAAAGGTATTGTATGGTGGAACTTATTTGTTCTCAAAATTCTTGAAACGGAAGATTGAGATATTCCTGCCTGTCGTTCTATAAATCTTTGGCTCACATACGGGTCATTGTCTACGGCTTCAATTACACGAATTTCATTTTCGACACCAGTAGCGGTAAGACCTATATTTCTTGTTTCTTTCGGTCAATTTTGTCTTAACGTTTTTTCTAAACATCTAAAGATTTGGTCGGATGGATGTCGCCTATCTTCTTTCGTAGATTTACTGCTGCAACGGCATTTTTTCCTCATTCTCCAAAAATCAAGATCATATCAACCTTTTCATCGTTCGTGTATTTAACCCTCATCCTATCGCGAAGACTAAAAACTTATAGGAGCTCAAAACTGACAAATAGAATTATTGCGAAAGTCAAAATTAACTAGTAGGTTTGTTAGGTACTAGTTTGTATATTTTAGAAAAGTAAAATATAAAAAGAATTACATATGAGGTATGTATATTTTGTGTTGCATTGAAATTTGGTCCGGGTCCCGTTATTATAATACTCAGTACTGACCCTATATATTCTTTATCAATTTGTACGTTAAATTCTGTGTTAACATGTAAAAATCACGCTGATTGGACGTTAAGCACATATTGGGACTTTTCCCTTGGAAATATTTCTTTAAATGTATTCCTTGCATGTATTTTAAAAATTAAACTGAACTTCTTAACAAAAAACCTAAAAATTGGAACAAAAAATTTGGATCATGAGGGCAATAAAAGAATAAAAAAGGAAGTAACACAAACATTTATTGGTGTTAGTGAGATGTAACACCTGGTTGCTAAGCTTACGCACATAAGCGAAACACAATGAATGCTAGACAACTCGATGGAATGTGCTGGACTGATGAGATCCAACAAGATCGAAACTGTAGTCTACAACTTTCTAACGGGTTGTCTAGCCTTCGGTATGATTAAACACTTTGCAAATATTCATTTTACAACTTAACTTGTTCGTTCTATTCCAAGTAAACTATAACTTGGTTCTTAAAGTTGCGGGTTCATTATTTTTCCAGCAAATAAGATATTTGGCTTTCCCTCAGATTTTTCCAACAACATTAAAACAAACGGATGATCAGCAATGAAGAAGATATCTGGGCCCTTTACATGACACTTACGCTCGATTATCATTTCTGCAATAAAAAAATGTATTAATTTTCGAATAATATATATGTACATACCTATTTTCAAATGAAATATTTCACAAGCAAAGCAAACGTAATTTCATTGTCAGTTATAATATCACGAAAGTATAGAAAATAATCGAAAATATTAACCGATTAACGAGACGTATCATCTGAAACACCACAAGACCGCAGGTCGAGTGATGTTTCTAATAATATGTCGAGTTAGTATTTTCGATTGATTTTATAATGCTCGAGTGGTATTCGTTTTGATTATATATTCAATGTCAACATAATTTATTTGTTCATTATTTAAAAAATTGAATGTACAATTATTCTAGTACACATTGTTTGCATTCAAAGTTTCCTGCTGGTGCAAGGAAGAGGTAGATAGTTATGATGATGACGGAGAATCTGAATTATATCGAATCTGATTTATGATTTTAGCATGATGTTGTTCGCTAAGTTTTAAGTAAGGCTTCAACGAATTTGGTGTGGAATTGTTGATTTAATTAAGTATTTCTTGTAAATTCCTGCAAACTTTTGCCACAAATTGATTGCTGGTTTATAATATCATTTTAAAATGCAATCCATACTGAATTCGTTCGTCTTATACTGCTTTGGTGGAAAACACAACATTTTTATTTCAATCTTAAAAATACTATTTTTTGCGTGTAGCAAGAAGATTACATAATAATCAAAAACTTACCAGTGGCTGCTGCTGCCTCAGATCCTTCTTCATTGACTTCAATAAACGCTTTCTGTATAACTTTGCTTACATGTAAAGGTTCTTTTGACGTAATCATACCCGTGAAGTTAGCTGCAGATTGATCAAATATTTCGCCAAGACCAAGCTGAATATATAAAAAAAAAACTGTTTTGTAGCTTATTCAAAATTTCTGACGAAAGTTCCATTACCTTGGTTAAAGAATCTTCTAAATCAATGGTTTGTTCAATTTTGAATTTTGGCAAGGCAACGGTAACTTTAATGTGCCACATCTTATTTGTAATTTCAGCCAAGTTTACAGTAGACAACTTTTTTTCCAACTCGACAATTGCATTTCTCTTAGAAGGCAAAATAATGACCATACTTAGGTTTCCATTGGTGTATGGCATTTCCAAGATTTGTGCTTCCAACTCCTTCATTCCTTTATAATAAAACTTCTTTTTTATATGCATCATTTGCACATTTACTGAATCTGCATCATTTAGATAGAATGGATCAGTTTTGGTGGCTTCCTTGTCAAATACTTCCCTCCATCTGGCTTTGAAATAAATAGCGTTTACAAGTACTAATCGCGTGTCTATATTTAAATCATTTTTGTTGACTAAATTCTTGATTTTTTCTTTAGTTTTCTCTTCAACCCAAGTGTTAATAGTTGAAGCAGCTGCCTTCTGGTTACAAAAATTAAGTAAATGCACATCAGACTGGAAATTTTTAGTGAGAGCTTCGCTGAAGTCTGGTAAAAGTTTACAACCCTCCATAAGGTAAACTCTATTGGCCATCAAAAGTGTAACATCGGAAAGAAAATTGAGACGGTTCATTACAACACTGTAACCTTCTTTCGCCACTTTAGCCTCTGGTACGTTTAACGTGGAAGCAAATTTTTCAGCTGTTGTACCCCGGGCGCCTTGGTAAGCCATGGAAAGAACAGCATGAATACTGATGGGAGAGAAGATTATATACCCTGGTGATGATCCAACCAAAACGTTGTAAAGGTTAACGGTAAACTGGTTATTGCTGTCCAAGACTTTGTGTGCTGCGGCAGTTTCATCGGCCATTATTGATGATAAATGAACTGTACAAGAAAACTTATCCAAGAAGAAATTTGATTAAAAATAAATAGTAATATTCGTATTATAGAGTACAATAAATACAAGAACAGTTTTACCACAGATACTAAGTGACCTGCCACAAAACTCAGCCATACGACACATCGATTTTTATTTACCAAACGAACTATTTATAAGCAAACGTTACTTTTTATATTGTCGGTTTGGCAAAATGTCTAGACATGCGTGGAAAAAGTAAAATCTTTTGGTGTACAGTGTGATTAGGTATGTTGAACTGTTTTAGCCTAACTATAATAATTTCATTAACCTTAGTGAAATTTATTTATTTACTGTTGTCATTAGGGAGGAGCTAGTTGCTAGCTGTTATAACTGTCTATCATCTTTTAACTTATTACCCTCAATGTTTAATGAAGTAAAAGGTATGTCCTGCCAACTGTCGTGTAATTAACCAGATTTTGAATTTGCTGTGTTTTTATGAAAAAGGGGCAAAGTAGAAAAGTACTGTATGATACTCGTTTATAAGACATTTTGTCGCACCAATAGATACAAGTGTAATCTTGTCTTTATCAGTGCGTTCATATTTTTAGAACAATTGTTAATCGGGTTCCTATTATGGGTTGACGATAAGGACTCTCCAGAACTCCAGCCCGAATACAAACAAGTGTGTTTTTGTAACATAATGCGTTGAAATGCTAGGGATATGGGAATATGGATGATTAAAGAACGATACGTTAATGAATTCAGAAAAACAAGCTCTACAACAATGTTAAAAAAATACATATATAGCGTGTCATTAAAAAATAAGTTGAATGTCGTACACAAATAAAAAAAATATGGCATGTCAAAATAAATCTGTAGGATGTCATTTACCTTCTTATCTGGTTACTGGTATTATTTATCTGTATTTATTTTATTGTAGAGAGGTTATCACGCATAAAAATTCTCAAAATCATTTTTTTTATTTTGCAAAGGGCCGGAATTTGTTAAAATCTACTTGAGTCCTATCGAAATAACCTTCGACCAATGTTTCTTAAATATATGTACTGGCGCTTAGCGGAATGTAGCCTTTCTTACTGCTCCACCTTCAAGTTTGTAATATTCATTCTGTCATGATGTACACTGTATGCAAGAATCACTAACATTTTGTATAGAGATTAATTTGAGAAATATGAATTCTTTCTATTTTGTAGATTTTAACAAGTAAAGAATTTATGCGGCATAAATTTTGCGTACCTACGTTCGGTGGAATTTTTTTTAAGACGTTGCACTTCCCAAGGCAAAACTATTTTTAATTCAGTGTTTTCTGCGATTTTTTTAGCAGCTACATATTTATAATCGAACTTCATGAAAAGTAAAAGCTGCAGAAATGCTTGAGTCACAATAAAATAACTTTTAGTTATTTTGATGGATTTACTTAGTTGAAACACTTCATATTGTAATATATGTATAATTTACAAAAGTACTGATCTGTTTGGCTAGAACTTCCTTTGCTTCGAAAAAAAAAAAACAGTTGTGTTAAACAGTATTGTTTAACACAGACTTAAATAGTAGTTTCTGGTGAGGATAAACATACATTAATTGTAATACGTATAACAAAAATACTATCACCATTTCTCTGTCTTACGGATTTCGGAAAACTCAAGTGCAATATTTCCCAGATAAGTAACTAAAAATAATAAAATAACCTATAATAACCCGTGTTGTGTAAACCTAGTAGCATTGATACAATCACAGATAAAGAACCATGTTACAATATTAATTTTTAATGAGATTTACTTACCAAAATTTTGACATGACGTCATCAGTGTTTTAGTGGAATGCACAGATAAATTTTGATAAGGCCTTTATTTTAGTGGTCATATTTTCCTCAAGTATTTAACGATTGTCTAGGCAAATGAAGACTTTCCGGTTCGAATAAATTTTAATGCCAAAAAGCAGCTTTTATACTTATAATTTTGAATTTAAAACTTTTTTAGCCATTGAATACATAATTCATTAATATATATGTATGTTAAACTCTCTGCTATCATTATAAAAGATCACTTAGGTGGAACTGAAGCACATATTGCGACAACTGTTTTGGAAATATTTTCATTAAATGTATTCCTTACCAGTGGCGTAGCTAATTTCCACTGCGCCCCCCCGCAGTTTATAGTAAGCGCCCTCATACACCAAATTTAGAAAGTAATATAAATATGTACTTACTCGTTTGTACATTTTAAAAAATATATCGGTTACGTTACGGTCTGCGCCCCTTTTGGCGCACTGCAGGGTCTGCGGGGGTGCTATTTACGCCACTGTTCCTTACATATACTTATTTTCCAACCTAAACTAAACTTCTTGGCAAAAAACATTAAAATTGAAACAAAAGAATGACAAGTGCAATAAAACAAAAACAACAACATAAACATTTATTTTACGTCTTCACTTGTTTCTTCGTTCCAAAGAAAACACAGTTTCATTCTTAAAATTGTGGGTTCATTATTTTTCCAGTAAATAAAATATGTGTTCCAGTTGATTTTTCCAACAACATAAAAATAAATGGATGATCGGCAGTAAAGAACATATCGGGACCTTCCACATGACACAACCTACCCCTCCTTCTCCTCCCTGCTGCTGCAGCTGCAAAAAAAAATATATCAACTTTCCAATAATAAATGTACATTATTGTAAGTATATATTGTCAAAGGTGTTATTTCAAAACTAAAGAGAAGGTAATTTCATTTTCAAGAAAATACGTTTGATGTTATTTAAATGTTTTTATACAAGTTACCTCATATTGACCCGAAAATCCCTGCAAATATTTTTGTTAAAAAATGTATTGCTTCTGTGGCTATATTGTAATTTTAAGCTACAGTCCAGATTAATTTATTTTTAAAAAAGGACTACTTTTTATTTTCAACGTTTTTTTTTCTTATACTGGTTTGATGGAAAACAGAACATTTTCAGTTCAGTTATACCCATATAACTGACTAAGCCTTTTCGTTGTAGATACAGAAGTTATAGATCGTAATATAACCAAATGTTGCACTAAGGTTCTTTAGACAGAACTTCCTTCACTCCTAAAATACAGTCGATCAAATGGAGTCGAAAAATTATAAAATTTATTTGCGAATTTTATTTTTTGACAACTTCTATAAGTTAAAATAAAGCTTTGTGTGAACTGTTAAAGTACAGGTAAAAAACATTTTAACAAGGACTAGGTGCAGTGCACACTAATATTAATAATGCATCTCAAATTTTTTGGAAAACAGGATGGACCGTTCTTGATTTAATCAATAAACTTAAAGTAGATGCCGCCCGGCATTGATCCACTGACTTTTTTTCTGTGCTACCTTTGGACCTGTTATAATAGAGTATTGTATTAAGTACGTGTCTAAAGAAGTGGACTTAAACAATAAAAAATTTAAATTAAATTAAAAGAAAAAACAAAAACTCCTAACAAATGTTCAATGTGACCTCCTGCTGTAAGTCTGTAAATCGTGCTGGACCAAGTGACCGACAAGGCGTTATACTATTCTGACGTTCAATATATGTATAAGTAAAAGGTATTTGGTAAATCTTGTACTGTGAGATCCGGATTTCGGGCAGGTCAAGAACTAACTTGTTGGTTTAGGTATCTTGTAATGGTTTTATGAATTGAACCAAAAATCTCCTTACAGGAGCAAATGGTAAATCTCTCACAGGAGCAACTGGTAAATCTTCCAGTTGAGGTTGCAAGTAATTTTGCAAAATTTTGGATAATTTACTCCGTTTAAATTATTGTAAGAATGCATTGGTATTTTTAGCAATGATCAAATTGGTAACAGCTTCGTATTGACGCTTCGAAACAACTGGAATCGATATTTTGGGTTGCCAAAGACTCAGATGGGTCATCCCAGCTGAATAACCCTGTATATATCAATCGTTCCCTTCAAAGTACTTAAGCGTTCTATTTTGCTCTCCGTTTATGCAATATGATCAACATATTTATATATGGCTATGATATTGAGAAGTAAATATATTTTTTTATGAAAAAGGTTGCTAAAAAATAAGTTTTATTAGCTTGTCTTCAAACTTCTGTTGTATCACTGAGCACACCCTGCAGTATAATATATATCTGTGTAAAATTTTACTCTAATATGTAGGTAAAATTTCACGCCAGATGGATCCATAGAAACTTTTGTTTTGATAACATTATCTTTGAGTGCATATTAAATACACCTGTTGCACATTTTATACAAAAACTGATTAAAATGGACAGACTATTAAATAAATAAAAAAAAAAACGATTGTAACATATTCACAATCAACACAGAATATTTTTACATATTTAAGTATAGGACGAAAATGAATTTAATAATCTAAAACTTACCAGGGACTGGCGGCGGATCAGATCCTTCTTCACTTACTTCAATAAACGCTCTCTGTATAACTTTGCTTACATGTAAAGGTTCTTTTGACGTAACCATGCCGCTGAAATTAGCTGCTGATCGATCAAATATTTCGCCAAGTCCAAGCTGAATAACAAAAAAATCACAACTGTTGGCCTATTCAAAATTACTAACGAAAGTTATTATTACCTTGGTTAAAGAATCTTTCAAATCAATGGTTTGTTCAATTTTGAATTTAGGCAAGGCAACGGTAATTGGTGGGTTGTATACCTCATTTGTAATTTTGGCCAAGTTTACAGTAGTCAGTTTCTTTTCCAACTCGGCAATTCCATTTCTCTCGAAAGGCAAAATAATGACCATACTTAGGTTTCCATTGGCGTAAAGCAATTCTAACATTTGAGCTTCCAACTCCATTATTGAGTTGTGATAACACCTCCTCTTCATATACATCATTTGCACAGGTACTGAGTCTGTATCATTTAGATAGAAGGGTTCAGTTTTGGTGGCTCCCTTGTCAAATGCGTGCCTCCACCTGGATTTGAAATAAATAGCGTTTACAAGAACTAATTGCGTGGATTCATCAAAATCTTCTTTGTTGACTAAATTCATGGTTTTTTCTTGTGTTTTCTCTTCAACCCAAGTGTTAATAGTCGCAGCAGCTGCCGCCTGGTCACAAAAATTAAGTAACTGAACATCACACAGAAAATTATTAGTGACAGCTTCGCTGAAGTCTGGTAAAAGTGGATGTCCCTCCATAAGGTAAATTTTAATAGCCATCAAAAGCGTAACGTTGGGAATAGAAGTGAGACGCTTCATTATAACACTGTAACCATCGCTAGCAACTTTAGCGTCGGGTACTTTTAAGGAGGAAGCAAATTTTTCAGCTGTTGTACCCTGGGCACCCTGGTAAACCATAGAAAGAACAGCATGAAGGCTGACGGGAGAGAAGACTATATTTCCTGGTGATGTTCCAGCCAAAATATTGTATAGGTTATTGGTGAACTGACTATTGCTGTTCGAGATTTGAAGTGCTTCTGCTGTTTTTAAGACCATTGTTGTTGGTAAAAGAAGCGCACATGAAAACTTATCCAAGAAGAAATTTGACGAACAATAAAATATTTATATTTGTATTAGAATACAATAGATACAAGAAGAGTTTTATCACAAACACTGGCTGACCTACTACTAAACTCAACCATTCCACACACCGATTTTTATTTACCAAGCGAACTATTTATAAGTAGATGTTACTTTTGAAATCACCACACTGGGACAAATCTATCATTGCATGAAATCAAGTAAAAATATTCTGTGTCCAGTAGTGATTATATTCATTAAACTGTTTCGTGAAACCGTCACGGCTATCTCGCGCGTGGGCGCAATACTGCTGCGTTTTGGGAGACGTCCTGCAAGGTTAAATAGTAATTCAGCAGGAAACTGGTGCTTGTATGCAACCAACATAACGTATCATTCATTATTTCGTTGGTATATTTCAACGTCATTTTTAACCACCTTCTGAAAAAGAGTGTTTTAACTAATCGATTACATGTTGCAGTTTTTGAGAGGTTGACGTAAATGATGTAAAATTAACACTGTTTTTAATTAAGTGAAACAGTTAGTGCACATTTTTCCGCAATCATTTCTTGGAAAATGATGGATTTACCTTCAATGTATGCCGGATTGCACGCACAATGATATAATATACACACTGATTAAGGTATTTAATTTTTTTGTTATGAAACCTGGTTTCAATATAAGAATTAGCAAAAACTGTTGTTAATGACTTTTAGTGTTGTAGTTACCTCGTGAAAGATTATTTAGCTTTGACTTTTAACACCGGCACCTTTTTCATACCAAGGCCGTAACTTTATATAGTCCAGCTTGTGAATACGAATACAAAAAGCATATGTATACGTTTTACAATTAATTAGGAAGAGAAATTTTTGAATGATGTTTAGCATAAAGTCACATAAATGACTTGTTCTGTTTCTGAAGTTCTAGTGGAGCAAACAGGGAAGAAAAAAGAAAAACTAAGTTGATTAACTGAATACACAGAAAAACTTTTGTAGAACAAACAAAACGTAACGTGTACAGCAGTTTCTACACAAAAAAGAAAATAATCAGAACTTGGAAATTAAATGCAAGACTAAATTAATACTAACATTGCGTCCTAGTATTCCTAGTCGACTGATGTTTGGAGGACAATAAGAAATATGATGATACCATGTTTCGAAAGGAGCAATACGTTGTAGTATGTAATTGTGTTTCTGTAAAAGCTTTGCTAGAGACTGTTGATGTCAAGGAAAAGTGCTAAATGTGAGGGTCATAAACAAGCTCTCGAAAAGTTTGCAAGTACTGTTTTTGGTAAAAGTTCAAAAACCAAATATGCTTAGCACGTCCTTAGTTTTTAGCACTGTTCCTGCAGCTAATGTGTTAGGTTCTAATTTTGTTCATAAGCCGTTACAGGTAGTAATATTTCTGCATTGTCTTCTAGCCATGAAATTGTTGTTTATTACCAAAATATTAGACGCGCTGGAACAAAAACGGCACAACTATTAACATCATCTTAAATCTATAGCGCTCTTTACATGATTCCATATATGTATCGTTGTGATGGGAATAACCGAAACAAGAAAATAAGGGGTAGAGGGGTACTTCTTGCCTTAAATGTTAATATTATTGCTCAGAGTATTAAGTTAGATCTAACAAATATTGTAGATGTGGCGTTACTTAAAATATGAACACTTCACACTTGAAATGAATATACCTAAAAAAAAGTTCAAGGTCATAAATTATAAAAAAGATTATTTGAAAACCGAATTCAAATTTCCATCTGAAGTCAAGTTTATACCTTACAGGGATCTAACTGACAGTTTATAACTGCTAAAATAATACTAGGTACTAGAAAACGATATTTTATTAACTACTTTTTACATTTTGGGATAAATAATTATATACCCATAAGATCTTGAAATACTGAATTAAATTAACAAGTAATAATAATAATGTAACCAGCCTAACAAGGCTGGGGCGTGAGTTAAAAAAAATAATATTTTTGAAAAATTAAATTATCTTTAATCGGGTAGCGTGTTTTTATCTCGTCTTCTACCTGAGAAGTGTTAATCACACATCACAGAAAAATGGGAATTCTCTTACCTTTCGAAACTTCCCTTTTCGCTGCTCGAGGGCACGGAGTCACTCACTAGTACCGCTGTGTCGATACACTATTATTTTAAACGAAAGGGTTGGCCGCAAATTCCGCAAAAAGTAACGTAGTTGAAAATCGGTCACCCTTATTTATTTACACACACTAATGAATTGATCAAAAATTTACACAAGAAAACCAAAATGAACAAGTGGATCACCGCTCGCGGTGACTTCCACAAATTTAGAAAATAAAGCAAATAAAAATTTAACACTGAACAAAAATGAATACTAAGACACTTTGAAGCAAAATTTAAAACAAAGAACGCGTCGAGAAGGAACGAGTTGCACACTACAAAATCCCGACCAGAGAACTGAAAAAAATTGACCAAACTACTCTTTTATAATTTCGCCAAGAGTGGAGACTCTACCCGGCGTCAAAGGGGCTAACAAAGAAAAACCAATGGGATGAAATCCCCTGTGTTGGAAAGAAGTGCTTTCTCGTTCTCTCTCGTCTATACCAGCAAAACCGCTCAAATCGCCGTCGATTTACATATTCTCATCAAAAATTCCCTAACAATAGCAATTACAGTATGAAATGACCTATCGAACAGCTTTTTAGAGTGGCCACTGGCTCGCGACTTAACTAGGATAGCCAGACATAGATCTCGAACCCATCAAACGTTCTTTTACTTATGACTCGGCTGTTTCTCACAGGTGGAACTGCAAACTTTATTCCACCAGTGGTAGGCCAGATCTATGTCCGTCATCCATCCGACTTTCTAACCTTTTGTTTTCTCAAAACATCTGTACACAATTATTTACAAAGTGAGGAATCGCATCACACCATTTCGATAACGGGATCTCTCAAACAAAGCCCTTCTCTGCCTCTGTCCCCATCCATCATGGTCGCTATAAAACTGTGCCGTTTCTTGAAATTCGACAAAAGGGCTAGGCACGCTTGAAACTCAATTTACTTTTTTAACGACTCCCTCGGAAAAGATTGGACATGTGGTACTATAAAGTTAACCCGAGGGTCCAGTGCCACATGCAGAGAGGACAGGATATAGCTAGATGGGACAAAGGAAGTATATGGATCTATTTGTTGGGATTTTCTGGGAAGGTTCGGAAGAAGTGATTTTTAAGGGGTCGTTAACAAGAATTTCGACCCATGATGAACAGCCGAGACAAATCAGCTCGCGACAATGACCTTTTTGGGGTTGCACGTGCACTCGTAACAAATGCACTTGTTACAATAATTAGACAAACGTGTACTTTCCTGCAATAAATATACAGTTTTAAATATAATACACCTACTACCACAGCAATTATTAAATACATCAACTTTGTCCTAGATAATAAATAGTAGGTACTTCTTAAATAGGAATGACGTTTAAATTTTATAAAAGAAGTTATATACTAACAAATTAAGTTAAATTAAAGTATAACGTGAAATAACTTTAATACATGACACAGTATTTGAAGATAAAACTAATCAAGCTACATATTTTATTATATTCTACAGGAAACATAATTGCAGTTTGTTATTTTTGCAGTAAATAAATTACATGTTTGGTTTTCTAATAGATTTTTCCAACAACGTCACAGCAAAGAGGTATCGGATAAGGTGCTGCAAAAAAAATTAAAATGGTTGGTTAATCACTGTAGTTTCAAAAATGTATTTGAAAACCATGTAAGTACCCGAATAAGAAAATTATTGTAGGATCATATTTTATACAAGTAGTGAAACCGCTGTAACCCCTATTATCCGTTCACGATCTTTATATAGTAGGGTTGGCCATGAAAATCTAATGAGTTTGTTGGTATTCGATGCAGAAGAATAAAAATTCCCTGAACTTTATTCGTTAGGTTATGTTTTATTAAATTAAAGGTTAAAAAATATGCCAGAAATATAAACATTGTTGCCGATACTTTCAGTTTTGAGTAGCAATGACCAAGTTAATGGTATCCATTTCTTATTAGAAAGCATAAAACTTTACGCTATTTAAAACAGTTATTCAGCTTTTTGTAAGTGTTTATTTCATATGTAAGGAACAAACACTATTATATTATTTTGTTGTACGTCAGGTAGTTTTTCACATACCTACTACCTTGGTAAATTTAGAACGAAAGATGCGTAAAAATATCACCCCCCGACAAGCTACAATTCACTCCATTTCCATTATTTCGCTATGAAAATCTGTATCATCACCGTCTTTTTCAAATTCAGATTTTGAATCAGATTCACCTAGCGAAATAATGAAAGGAGGTATAGATTCGTACGAAGGATTTCCCATATTTTTTTCCTAATCAGCCAAAATAAGTTTTTCACAATGTTTACAAAAATTTTGCCACATGCTTGGAGTAGGTACATTTAGAAAGCGCCTCAAGCCATAATTCTCCAACCTATTTTTTAATGAAGATGCAGAATTTATATGCTTGTTGTAATAGTTCTTACACAATCCCCACACCATTTCAATTGGATTATATTGACAATGGTACGGAGGTAATCTAAGAACTTCATAGCCACTTTCTCTTAATGTATCGTCTACCAAATATTTTTTTCTATTGTTTCTGAAGGGTTTAATTAATTCCTACAACTGTTCCTTCGAAAATTTTTTGCCAAATTCAACACTATGTTTAAAGAGCTATTCCTGCATTTCACATTTTTTACTAGAAAAAGTGGATGGTTTATCCAACTGAACCGAATGATACGGTGCATTGTCTAAAACCACCACACATTTTTGGTTCAACTTTGCCAAAGCAGGAATGAGGTGATTAATCACCCAATTTTGAAAAATTGTCCCATCCATCGTTTTATGATAGTCTCTATCGTTATTTTTTGAATTTAAAAAATTGTTACAACCATCCAAGAATCCCGTTGAACAACCCGCGTGGAGAATAGTAAACCTTGATCCTTCACTTAGAATTTTGGTGGGATTGCTTTTTAGATTAGTATCGTGCACCCAGCGACGAATGGACGAACCATTTTGGTAGATCCATGTTTCATCCAAATACACGAAAGTCAAATTTTCACAAGAATTTAGAAACTGTAAATATGTTCTCAAAAAAGTAATTTTGGCTGCAACGACATGTTTTTGTTCACATAGAATTTTGCGACCATTTATTCTCTGTGTTTATAACCCATTGACTTAAGAATTTTGTATAATGTGGTTCGTCCCCCTTTAAATTCCAACTGTTCCATAGAATATGCCAAAAGAGTATCTACAGTGAAATATGCGTTTTTTTCATTAAGTTGCCAAATTTGTCGTCGCAGGTCTTTCCGAAACATATAATTTGTAAATAAATCCGTTGGTTTTCGCTTGCCAGATATGGCGTTTTT